CCTCCCCCCTCCCCCCTCCCTTCCCCTCCCCTCCCCTCTCCTCTTCTCTTCACACTATTGCCACGGCCTCTTCATTGAGCTCCCGAAGGCAGTCTCTACTTCATCCAAGTTATTCTGCAACCAGAAACTACCCATAGAAAGTAGGAGTCACTCATAGCTCGGCAGCTACACATAGACAAGTGAACACTAGCTTTGCTGGTGGCCAGAGGTACCCCCTCTCCTACTACTCTGGTCTACATTAAAGTCAGGAGAGTGAAGAAGTGAGGAGATAGACAAAGGGTAGTTCTGAAGTCTACAGATCTGACATCACGCCATCACGATGACATCATTTCCCTCAGGACCAGCTTCCAGAATGTCAAAGTTTCATGTTAACCTGTGAGTATAATTCTTCTTTGAGCCCCATATTCTTTTTTCCGGGGTCATCTTCCCCAGTTCCTTCTCAGTGTGCTTCCAGTGGCCTAACCATGTTCATTCACTCATGTACATATAGTTCAGCGTCTGTCCGTCACATGCAGAGCTCCCCTCCTGGGTAATCACATGCCCCATCTGGCACATCAGAGTTTGGTTCCACCTGTGAAGCTGGAGATCCCACCAAGAATGTTCCCTTTATTCTCAAAAGTGTCCAAGTTTGAGTCTCTACCCTACTAAGTAAAACCTCCCTTCTTTACGCAGCTGGAAGTGTGACCTTTGATTAAGCATTCATTAATGAGACGAAGCATTCATTATACCAGACACTTCTCAGATCTGCCGACCTCTGAAGTACCCTTTGTCTATCTCCTCTCTTCTACACCCTCCTGGCTTTAATGTAGACCAGAGTGGTGGGAGGAGGGGGTACTGCTGGCCACCAGCAAAGCTAGTGTTCACTTGACTATGTGTAGCTGCCGAGGTATAAGTGATTTCTACTTTCTTCATTTGTTTTGAGAAAGGGTCCTAGTTGGCTGGGAATTTGCTGTGTAGACCAGGCTAGCCTCAGATTCTTTCTTGAACCTCTTCCTCCTTCTACTGGGTTTTCCATTTTTAAGTAGTTTTCAAAAACACAGATAGCCTGGCATGGAGGTACACATGGCCTGGGAACCACAGCTCTGGGGATCAGAAGCAGGAGGAGGATAAGTCTGAGGCTAGCCTGGGCCATGTACAAATGTAGAAAGATCTTGCCTAACAAACAAACAAAACCGCTCAGAAAACAAAATCCCCAAATCACCATAATCACATTTTGTGACATAAAACAATGCAAAATTGAAATTTTAGTGTTCATAAGAAAGAATTTTCAAAAACAAATATTCATTTGCATATGCATGGTCTGTGGACAATTTTGTTCTGTGATGGCTGAATTCGGTGGTTACTTGAGAAACCACTCAGCCTTCGAAATCAAAAACATTTATTTCTTGAGCCATTATATAAAAAAAAAACTGGCTGAACTCTGACCCCAAACACGGACACGTCTGAAACAGCATTTAGCACTTGGCCTCACAAGCCACGCACACACACACCATGATCTGGGAAAGAGACACACTGAACTGGTAAGCAGTCACAAGCTGCCTCCGCTGAATGTCCAAACTCAGACTCTTCTGACCCAGCAGTGAGTGAGGTCTCTAAAGATTTCATTGTTTTGGTCAAGTTACCACAAGCTACCTGTAAAGTCAAGTGGCTAAGAACAAAGCCATTCCAAGCTTTATCTGCTAAGCCAGTGCGTGTCTCCGCTGCAAGCTAGCTTTTATACCCAATGACTTGTCACTCAGCATCCTTTCTGGGGACAGCTTTCCACCCTCATCCCCAAACTGATTAATTTTCTAGGTTTCTTTCTTTGTGGCAGATGGGATTCCAATATCATCCATCCTGAAAGGTCGTTAATAAGAACCATTAGAGTGAGAACGGAAGCCCGCAGACTTATTATTCTCTGACAGATCACCTGTCATTGCCTAATGAGTCAGCTTAGGAGCTGTCCACAGTTGGTGACTGCAGCCACTGAAAGTTCCTGTCTCCAGCATGGCA